TCCTTACTGTTTTCTGAAATATAAAAGTGGTTATATATACAGAGTGTAGAGCATAAACATCTGGAGGTGCCCAGGGCCACCATCCTGTCCTACTTTCTGAGGGAGTACTTAATTTTGAAATCCATGCATATTAATAAGAAAATAGACTTTTATATTTAAAGTATTTAATTATGATAAATTACATATCATGGTTGAAGTGTTAATTATAGTTTTCTTTTTGTAAAGTGATTTTTAACTACATTTTGTTGTGTTGTGTAGAAAAGTAAGAGCAGCATTTAGGTTCTATCATTTTGCAAGTAGTAGGTTTTTCTGAACGACTCTCTTCATGGCAAAGCCCACTGACCCCACTTCTCTCTGCGAAGGACCTCCACCAATTACAGAAGACATTACGTCGCCCTCTGTCTCGCCAATGTTGCCTTCATGCTTCCCTGGGAATTTGCTCAGTTTATACTTTTCACACAGGTAAGATGACTTAAAACTAATTTAAGTTGGATGCAGTATGTGCTGTTTAGTTTTATAGAAGTTTTGAAACGTAATTATGTTTATGCTCTAAAAGATTTACAAAATATATAGTGATTATAAAATTTATACAAATGTGTAATTTAAAAATATAATTCTGCATTCTTTAGTGTATTAGTCACTGATGAGTATTAATGGTTGACATGCAAAGGACTTTTTTCTATTCTTCTTATTCACAAACTTTCCTGTTGGAGGGCGGGAGACCATCTGTGTGCATGTTTCTTATAGATGTTCTTATCGCGGTGTCCAGCTACACCAGATTCTAAAGCCAGTCCTGCTCTTCGTGGTTGGTGTTTATATTCTGGTTGACCTAAATGTTTGTCATTTTGTCTTGAGAATCAAATATTACCTGGAACCATGTCTCAAAGCTGTGCTCATGACATTGTTTACATGAATGAAATCTCTATCGACCTCCCAAAACAACTAAAGAATTAAAGGAAATCTAGTGCATCAAAGTTGGGAAACAGCAAAAGTACAAGTTCCATGAAATTTCATGACACAGATTTTCAGCTAAGGCTAACAAAAACCTTGCCATTGCTGCTAACAATAATATTCTATATTGGAGAAGAGAAATTCTGCCACAAGGCCTATCAGTTGCTTTGCTCTTCATGCTGGGTCAAAATTCCCAACATCCAAAATTAAGGAAGAAAAGGTTTATTGAGCTCAGTTTGAAGGCGTTTCAATCCATACTTGGCTGGCTCCAAGGCAGAGCGGCACACAGCTGAAGGCAGCAGTTCCTAGCAGCAGAAAACAGCAAAACATCAAGAGCAAAAGGGTAGAAGCAAGGGCTATGGTGGCAAGGGGGAAAAGGGAGAGGAAGAGGGAGAGGAAGAGGGAGAG